GTCTTCCATAGTGGCTGCATCAGTTTGCACTCCCACCAGCAGTGTATGAGCGTTCCCTTTTCTCCACAACCTCTCCAACGTTTGTTATTTTTTGTCTTGGTTATTGTAACCATCGAATGAGGACGTTTTAACTCAACATTCAATGAACTCCATTAAAGAGGCTTGTTGAGAACAGCTGAATCCAGTCTGTGGTAAGAACTATGTATTTCTAACCACACATAAGGATGACGCTTGCCGCTTCCTCCACACTCAGGGTTTGACCGTGAAAGTGCTGTCTAGGCACATCTGGTCTCGTCCCTCAGGGATCATTTATTCTATACTGGGACGTCTCCAAGTGCTTCAGGGCTGATCTCTCTACATTCTTAACTCTCTCATGAAGATGTGTCTCGTGCATCCTTATCATGTGGAACTACAGTCCACAATCCCTTATCTGAAACCCCCGGGTCCAGAGGTATTTCAGGTTTCAGAACATGTTGATTTAAAAAGATAATAAAGGGAGTATGCCACATATTGCATACCACCCTAGGTGGGGTCTGGAACAGAATCCATGTTCTGCAAGTATGCAAATATTTCTGAACAAAGCATATGAGCACTCACACCAGTGAGACATGCGGACCCATATGGGGCTCGTGGCCATTCAGGTCATATTTTGCCCTTTAATGAGTACAGGTCAGTGCAGGTTTGCTATCAAATGATTTATTAAAAAACGTTGTCAGAGTTTTGGGAGTTTCAATTGCTAATAAGGAATTATAGGCCTTCTTTAGATCCTTATCTAGTTGATTTCACAGAAGACTTTGCTCTCCCGCAGTGCGCTCTGCACAGCCCTGGCTCCAGCCAGCTGCTGCTCCTGGCCTATTTCTCTAATGTGAGCCCTAAGGTTTCTGTTTTCTCTATAATGTCACCATTATGTTTCGGTATCTCTGGCTGACATAACAAATTACCACAAATTTGGTGGCTTAAAACAACACAAATTGGCATCTTTTGGTTCTAGAGATCATAAGTTCTAAAATCAAGATATCTACTAGGCTGCTTTCCTCCTGGAGTTTCCAGGGAAGAATCTGTTTTCTTGCCTTTGCCAGCTTCTAGAGGCCACCTGCATTCCTTGGCTTGTGGCCTCCTTCTTCAAAAGCCAGCAGCATAATATGTGTGAGTGCGTGTATGTGTGTGTGTATATATATACACATATATATAAACATTATATATATATATATATATATATATATATAACCTCTGCTTCCATCATCACACCTTCTTTTCTGACTGACCCTCTTACCTGCTTCATATAAGGACCTTGTGATTCTGCTGAGCCCACCTGAATAATCCAGGGTAATCTCCCCATCTCAAGACCCTTAACTTAATCACATATACAAAGTCCCTTTTGCCATGTAAAGTGACATATGCATAGTTTCCAGGGATCCAGATGTGGATGTCTTTGGGGGTCATTATTGTATCTACCACTCAATTCTTTCCAGTTCCGTGGGATTGCAGAGGAAGTTAGTGAAAAGTCTGCTTCCTGCTCAGAGGTCAAGGGGAAATGTGTCCCTCTAAGCGCACACATGGGTGCCATAATATTCCCTGGTGGCAGCATTCAGTTGCAGCTCCCTATCTCCCCAGATATAGCAGGATGATGTACTGTGTGTTAAGACACATGGTCAAAGCTCAGTGAAGGTATATTTTAGAGTGCCTTGAAGAAGAAGCCAAAAACTGATTACCCAAAGGTGTGGGCATAGATACATAAAGCCAAGGTGATGAAAGGTCTAAGACTGCTCAGAAAATAGAAATAAGTCCAGTGTGGGTAACAGGACACTGGGGGGAGGAAGAGTGATGACAGATGTAAAGAAATGTCCAGCGGAGACCAGATTCTCTCTTCCTTGAGTCCTTTGGAATAGCTGATAGAATCATATTCCTCCTAAAAAAATGCCATTTTTAATATTTCAAACTCTACTCAAACCTAGAACAATTTTTAAAAGAATTCAGGTAGAATGTACCTTTCATTTAGGAGGGAGAGGTAGCACCAACATTTATTGCAGACAGCAACTGACAAATTCAGCTCCGTTGGCCTATTTGGATTTTCCACCTTTGGAGTTGCTTCTTAAAGTAGATTTATGTCTCCATGGACCTATTAAAACCATCCTACCAGAATCCAGTGACTAATTAATTTTGTTGTCAAATGAGATCACAGATGCCACAAAAAATGTGTGTAGTGGACCTGAAACACACTACATATCTCTGAAGCATAGATTTTACTTGAACATTCTAAGTGGAGAAAAAATATTTTTATATGAAACATTAATAGAAATATTACAAGGAGGAATGGAAAATGTGTTTAATTTTTTTAATAGATTTTATTTTCTAGAGCGGTGTTAGGTTCACTGCAAAACTGAGCAGAAGGTACAGAAATTTCCCATACTCTCCCTGCCCCTACTCATGCATAACCTCCCCCATTATCGACATCCCCCACCAGAGGGCACCTGTGTTACAATTGATTAACTTACACTGACACATCATAATCACTCAATCATAGTTTACACTCGGGTTCACTCTTGGTGTTGTACAATCTATGAGTTTGGACAAATGTGTAATGTATCCATCCACATGTATTCATCATTATAGTATCATACCCAATAGAGTTGCTGTCCTAAAAACCCTCTGTGCCCTGCCTGTTCATCGCTCCTTCCTCCCTAGCCCCTGTCAACCTCCAATGTTTTTACCATCTCCATGGTTCTGCCTTTTCCAGAATGTCATATAGCTGGGATTATACAGTATGTAGCCTTTTGAGATTGGCTTCTTTCACTTGGTAATATGCACTTTTCATAGCTTGAGAGCTCATTTCTTTTTAGTGAGAAATAATATTCCATTGTAACTTGTCTAATTTTTTAGATAAAAGAAGTTCTCCAAAAACGTTTCTTTTGCCACAGGCTTCTTTAGAGCGCACCTTCAGCTGCCCCTCCACCTCTACTCCCAATATGCTTCATCTCCTCCAACTTTAGGGACATTAATTCCTAGAAGAGTTTAACCCACTGTTAACATGAACTGATCGCCACGTTAGACATGCAGAGCAGTGTCCTACAAAAGTGGTTGTCCACTTGTCTTATAAATTCCAGAACCTTTTCTTCAAAACCAAGTCCATATGGAGTTCCAAAACAGAAGACAGTAAACATGAACCTGCTCAGGTCAAAACAGGTGGGAGGGGGGCCCAGAGCCCATCCACTCAGGGGCCACACACACCCAGCCTCCCCGGCAGTCATGGAGGCATCCCAAGTGATCCACAGCATCTACAGTTGCTTGAAAATGGCGGACCTCAGAGAATGGATACTAAGACTGTTGAACTGGGCCAGGAGAAAGAGGAGGAGAGGCAGTCAGGGTGAAGGACAGGCCTGGGTATGGCGTGCCATGCCTGCACGAGGAACCACAAGGTGGAAGACAGAAAAGGTGCAGGGAAGTCCCAAAGTCAAGCTCTGTCAAATGCACAACTGCACATACTGGTTGATCACTTTAAATTTTAGGATTGAGGAAACAGGTCTCAGAAAGCAAAAACCTCTTGTAAATGAAGTGGTCACTCTTTTATTTGAGTTTCAGCTAAGGAAAATGTTAAATTAGATATACAATTATTAAATCATAGGGAACTTACAGTTACAGTCTGACCCCCTCCTTCTACACATGAGGAAAGCAAAACTCAGAGTTAAGACTAGAACCTGAGTCTTCCAGCCCACACTGGACCACGGAGCATCAGGGGAATATGGTAAGTGTTTTCCACTCACAAAGGCTTTTCCAACCTAGTTAATAAAATTCCCCTAAATATTTTAAATTACATTTAATTTAACATATTCCACTCTTTTTTTAAGTATCTCAGATGTTTAACAATAACAAAAAGAAAAAGAAATCCTAATTACTTCAATAATTACTTCTCACAAATCTAGTGAATTAAGCTTATGAATATAGTGACTTAAATTCTCTTAAAGATTTATAAACTAACTATAATTCCCTAACCTTTCAACCTAAAATCCCGAGTCTAAATATTAAATTACTCAATAATATATTAACTTCTAATTGTAAGCCTCATCTGTTGTATTTTCCAATATGCCAAAGTTTCTTCTACATAATAAGTACTTACTAAATATGCCAAGATTATTCTCAAACTTAAAACAAAAATAATAATGCTATAGTTTGATTTCTTGATTATATTTCCGTAATAAATTTAATGTTAAGACTTTAAGGGACTGAAACAAAGTTATTTACTACGGGAACAATTATGGCACCCCAAGCCGGTGAGCATCACTCCTCCAAGCGAACTGGGGCTAGCTCCTCAGCTGGCAGATGTCACTCTTCACCCGGAGATTTGGGGCAGGATGTGACATCTGAGGCTGTAAACATTTTTGTTTACAAGAAGGAAGCTGCAAGATTTTTGTGTCCTCCAGACTGCCACAATGACGCTTTTTGACGGTCTGGTGCTAACAGGGAGCCCCACCACGAGTCTAGTTAAGCCTCACCTGCTCCTGTCACTTCTCTCAGCTCTGTAGCTGTCTAGGTGAGACGTGGTTTCATGAAGCCAGCCCCAGCCTGTTCCAGCACTGGTTTGTGTCCAACCCACCTAAGTGCTGATTCCACCCTGGCCTTCTTTTGTTGCTCAAACTTGACAAGAGTCTGTGAACTTAATGGCCCTCCGCCCTGGTCCCCGTGTGTGGCTGTCCCCTCCTTGTCACTCAGGCTTCAGACAGGCCATCTCTCAGGAGCCAAACCAAAACTGCCATTGTCTAACACATGACCCAGTTTTCTTTTCCTCTGTGGCACTTATCTCCATCAGAAATATGTTTACTTCTTTATCATCTTTACCCGCTGAAACAAAACTATTTAAGATGTTTCAAGCTCCCATAGTTTTGACTTCTCTCAAATTAACACTAAACATAGTATCTCTCCTAACTCTCTCAGAAAATAATTTTTAAAAAAAGGAATGGCTACTCTAAGCATTAGAAATGACATAAGCACACCTTTCTTTTAAGCACCTGTCAAGTAAGTCTACATAGAAAGATGTCCTTGGAGAAAATGAAAGATCTCTGCCTGGAGGAAAAATACCTTCAACCAGAAACCAAAGAAGTGAATGGAGTCCTCATGACCAAGATAATAAGTGATAATTGGGACAAAATCTGGAATTTCCAAGCAAAACCTGATGATCTCCTCATTGCAACCTATGCAAAGGCAGGTAGGTTTCAGAAACTGGTCGTGGGGAAGCCAGCCTTAGGGATGCTGGGATGCCTGAAAGGGCCTCTCTATTTTAAAATGCAGGTTGTCACCAGGGCTGACACCTGAAAAAATGAAAACCAGACTCACTTATGAGTTCTAGTCCCCCAGGATCCAAGATCTTCCTTTTTAATTTAGGTCCCTGATAGAGAAAAAGATGGCCAGAAGCCAAAATTGTCAAAGGACTGAATGAATTACAAAATTATTTAGAAGCATAGCATCTGAGAAATAGTACAGAAGTTCTTACAGTAAATCTCGCAAACTCAGCCACTCTTTGTTTTACCCTCTAAGCTCTCCTGGAAGTAACCACAGTCCTTGCCCATAAGAAGCTTCTCTTAGTGGAGGAGACAGATGTGGAACTGAGCACTCTCACCTCAATATAGAAAGTACTAATAGTGTGGGGTCCAAACCTACACAAGTACAGTGGGAAGGATCTGGGAGAGGGGAGGTGACACTTACCAGAACCTTATAAAATGAAGAGGAGTTTGTGGAAAATGTACGAGTCAGAGGAGGCAAAATGGTGTGCCAGGCTTGTGCAGGGCAGAGGAATAGAGAACATCGCAACCAGAGAAGACTGTGACGTAATGGCTGATAATCCCCCTGTGTTATCTGTATTTATAATTTCTACCAGTGTGACCCAGAGAGGTAAAGAACTTCAAACTGTAACCAGTTTGAGAAAGTCTCCCAGTGGCCGTTTGACTCAAGAAGAGTCTAGATATTCATAACCAGAAAGATTTCAGAGCAGAGTCCATTCACGGCAGTTCTTTGAACCATATTAGAAGGCATTTCTGTCTTCTCTGGCTCAGAATTCCCTCCTTCCACCTCACTCTGTCCTTGCCACTCAGCACTGCTCACCAGGCTTACTTAGAGTAGGGTCTTCCTGTTGGCCCTACTCTTGGTTTCAATTGTTTTCAATTTCTCAAGAACCTCCTTTTCTGTCTGGTTTGTACTTCTCTTGCCCAGACCTGAACTTAAATTTGTACTGCACCCCATAGCAGAAATTTGTTTTCAGCTCACCTTGGAAATTGTGCAATCAACCCCAAGACCCTCGACATGACAGTCCAAACTCTCTCCAGCCTTTTTCTCCCACAGCCCCCCACCACCTCTCAACTACCTGTGAGCCCTCTTTACACTTTGGTGTAAAGAGGAAAATGCATATTTATGGACAATAAACAGTCTAGCTCTTTTCTACTTATATGTCTATTTATACCCATCTTCTGTATCAGTTGGGGTTCAATTTGGCTATAAGTGTCAAAAAACTCAAAATAACACAAAAGAAAAAGCAGTCTGGAGGTTAATAGTCCAGGGCTAAAATGGTGGCTGCACTGGTCATCAGAGACCCTGGGTCCTTCTGACATTCTTCTTCACCATTTTCAGGTGTACCTTTTGTTTTATAGTCCAATATGAGTGCTGGAGCTCCAGCCATCACATGCACATTCCAAACAGCAAAAAGGAGGTAGGAAGGGAGGAGTAAGGTCATGTTTCTTCCCTTTAAAGATAGCTTCCCAAAATTTAATGGCATGGCCACATCTAGCTTCAAGAAAGACTGAAAAATGTCACCTTTGAGCCAAGTAGCTATATTCCCAGCTAAAAATTGAGCATCTGTTAATTTGAGAAAGAAGGAAAGAATGGATATTAACTAGGCAAGAAGCAATCCCTGTCATTTCTTATCTCCTCCAAAAAGATTGTCAGCTGTTAGGGCTGGGACAGTGGCTAATTCATCTTTGTATTTCCCTACATTGATTTGATTCAATATTCTTTTCCGCAAGCTACATTTATTAGGTGCAAAGCCCTATGCTAGGTACTAGGAATAATGAGAACAAAAGGACAAGGCCCTACCTCTGTTGAGTTCTCAGTCTCACAACAAGGCAGATATGTAAACTGACCTTGACAATGAGCACAGGGGCCACCGGTGCTCAGGGAGAGGACCTATCCATCCCAGATGTCACACGGAGGCTCTCTCCACCTTGGGTGTCACATAGACACTTCGTCCACTCTGGGTGTTATGCAGAGGAGATGACAAAGGAGCCGATAGGACTCAACACTCAGCAAATGTGAATTTTACTGAATACGTGAATAGTCAAGGAAATAGAACTAAATTGTGTGGTGAGTATGTAGAATTGAGAATAACCAATGCTTTTAGGCACAACCTGGACACAGGAGATTGTGGACATGATCCAAAATGATGGGGATGTGCAGAAGTGCCAACGGGCTAACACCTTTGACCGACACCCTTTCATTGAGTGGACTCTACCCCCACCCGGCCACTCAGGTAAGTGCTCAACTGGGACCCATGAGGTTGTAGCCACTGTGTGGGTCAGTTTGCACCAGAAAAGATAATTATTTCTGCAATCAGCCTTCTAGAAAATATTGCCAAAGGGAACTAGGAAGGAGTTTGAGGTCAACATACTCACTTCAACTGGGAAAAAAGGCTCCTAAATTCCTCTCCTTTAGGACAGGAATATTTTAATATATGATTTTAATATATGATTGGGTAGCATCAGACAGCACATACCCTACTGCTGATTGAGAACTTGAGAGGGACCATAAATGTATAACACAGAAAAGGCAGTATTGAGGACTCCTAGCATCCAGTAATTAAGAACCATATTCTTGTGTCATTGTGCTACCCTCTTATAGAGGATTGTCTTCAAATATACTTTGTCTATAACCTGTCTACCAGACAATCAAGCTAAATTGTACATAGTATCATTATTATCAACAAATGATTACACTGAACACCAAAGATACTAAGGAATACATGACATAGCACTCTCGAAGAGCTTTCAATCAGTTAGGAATAAAAGACATGTTTTTATAAACAGTAGCTTTTGCAATAGGAGACAATCCAATGGTGAAAAAGCATAGACTTTGGATTCAAACAGTCCAACTTCAAATGCTGCTTTGGATTTTCATCTAGGTGACCTAGATAAGAAAGCAAGTTATTAAACCTCTCAAAACTATTTCTTCATTTATAAAATAATAGCTATTGGAAACCCATTATTGTTATTTTTTAAAAGAATGTATTTTTTTTCCAATTTTTTTATTAAAGTATAGTTGACATACAATCTTATATTAGTTTCAGGTGTACAACATAGTGATTCAACACTTATAGACATTATGAAATGATCACCACAACAAGTCTAATAACCATCTGTCACTCTACAAAGTTATTACAATATTATTGACTATATTTCCTATGTTGTACATTACATCCCCGTGACTTATCTATTTTATAACTGGAAGTTTGTACCTTTTAATCCCCTTCACTTATTTCACCCATCCCCCTATCCCACTCCCCTCTGGTGACCACCAGTTTGTTCTTTGTATCTATGAGTTTGTTTCTGTTTTGCTTTGCTTGTCTATTCGTTCTGTTGTTTAGATTCCACATAGAAGTGAAATCATATGGTAGTTGTCTTTCTCTGTCTGACATTTCACTTAGCATAATACCCCCAGGTCTATGTTGTTGCAAATGGCAAGATTTCATTCTTTCTAATGGATGAGTAATATTCGATTGTGCTTATATACCATATCTTCTTTATCCATTTATCTATTGATGAACACTTAGGTTGCTTCCATATCTTACCTATTGTAAATAATGATGCAATGAAAATGGAGGTGCATATATCTTTTCGAGTTAGTACTTTAATTCTCTTTGGGTAAATATCCAGAAGTGGAACTGCTGGATCATATGGGAGTTCTATATTTAATTTTTTGAGGTACCTCTATACTATTTTCCATAGTGGCTGCACCAATTTACATTCTTATCAATAGTGCATGATGGTTTCCTTTTCTCCACATCCTCACCAACACTTGTTATCTGCTATCATTTTCATAATAGCCTTTCTGACAGATGTGAGGTGATATTTCATTGTGGTTTTCATTTGTGTTTCCCTGATGATTAGTGATATTGAGCATCTTTTCATGTACCTGTTGGCAATCTGTATGACTTTTTTGGCAAAATGTCGATTCAGATCCTCTGCCCATTTTTTAATTGGATTGTTTGTTTTTTTGACATTGAGTTGTATGGGTTCTCTAAATATTTTGGATATTAACCCCTTGTTGGATATATCATTTGCAAGTATCTACTCCCATTCAGTAGGTTGCCTTTTCGTTTTGTTGATGGTTTCCTTCGCTGTGCAAAAGCTTTTTAATTTGATGTAGTCCCATTTTTTTTATTTTTGGTTTTGTCGCCTTTGCCTAAGGAGACAAGTGCAAAAAAGTATCACTAAAACCAATGTCAAAGAGCTTACTGCCTATATTTTCTTCTGGGAATCTTATGGTTTCAGTTCTTATGTTTAACTTTTTAATCCATTTTTAGTTTATTTTTGTATATGGTGTAAGAAAGTGGTCTAGTCTCATTCTTTTTCATGTAGCTGTTCAGTTTTCTCAACACCATTTATTGAAGATAAACAGGGTCTTTTTCCCCATTGTATATTTTTTCCTCCTTTGTCGTAGATTAATTGACCATATAAGAATGGATTTATTTATGGGCTCTCTATTCTATTCCATTGATCTGTGTGTCTGTTTCTGGGCGGGTACCAAACAATTTTGATTACTGTAACTTTGTATTATAGTTTGAAATCAGGGAGCACAATAGCTCCAGCTTTGTTCTTCTTTCTCAAGATTACTTTGGCTATTCAGGGTCTTTTGTAACCCCATATAAATTTTAGGATTATTCTAATTGTGTGAAAAATGCCATTAGTATTTTGATAGGAATCGCACTGAATCTGTTGATTGCTTTGGGTAGTTTGGACATTTTAACAATTTTAATTCTTCCAATCCATGAGCACACTATGTCTTTACATTTATTTGTGATTAAATTATTGTGATTAAATTGTGATTATTGTGATTAAATTATCAATTTCTTTCCTCAATGCCTTATAGTTTTCAGAGCATAGGTCTTTCAACTCCTTGGTAAGTTTATTCCTAGGTATTTTATTCTTTTTTTTTTCTAGGAAGATTGGCCCTGAACTAACATCTGTTGCCAATCTTACTCTTTTTTTTTTCCTCCCCAAAACCCCAGTACATAGTTGTCCTAGTTGTAAGTACTTCTAGTTCTTCTATGTGGGATGCCACCACAGCATGGCCTGATGAGTGATGTGTAGGTCCATGCCCAGAATCTGAACAGGCAAACCCCAGGCCACAAAAGCAGAGTGCATGAACTTAACTACTCAGCCGTGGGACCCACCCCTATTTTATGCTTTTTAATGCAGTTTTAAATGGGATTGTTTTTTAATTTCTGTTTCTGATTGTTCATTATTAATGTATAGAAACAAAAGATTTCTGTATATTGATTTTGTATCCTGCAACTTTACTGAACTTGTTCTAAATTTTTTTTTGAGGAAGATTAGCCCTGAGCTAACATCTGCTGCCAATCCTCCTCCTTTTATTGCTAAGGAAGACTGGCCCTGAGCTAACATCTGTGCCCATATTCCTCTATTTTATGTGGGACGCCTGCCTGACAAGCAGTGCACAGGTCCATGCCCAGGATCTGAACCAGCAAACCCCAGGCTGCCAAAGTGGAACATGCAAACTTAACCACTGTGCCACTGGGCCGGCTCCTGTTCTAATACTTTTTTGTGTGGAGTCTTTAGGGTTTTCTACATATAGTATCATGTCACTTGCAAATAGTGACAGTTTTACTTCTTCTTTCCCAATTTGGTTGTCTTTTATTTTTTTTTCTTGTCTAATTGCTGTAGCTAGAATTTCCAATACTATGTTGAATAAGAGCAGCGAGAGTGGGCATCCTTGTCTTGTTCCAGATCTTAGAGGAAATGCTTTCAGCTTTTTACTGCTGAGGATGATGTTAGCTGTGGGTTTGCCATACATGTTCTTTATTATGTTGAGGTATGGTTCCTCTATACCCACTTTACCCAGTTGTTATCATAAATGGATACTGAATTTTGTCAAATGCTTTTTCTGCACCTATTGAGAGGATCACATGATTTTTATCCTTCATTTTGTTAATGTGGTGTATCAGGTTGATTGATTTGCAGATATTGAACTGTTCTCACATCCCTGGGATAAACTCCACTTGATCATGGTATATGATCCTTTTAATGTATTGTTGAATTTGCTTTGCTAATATTTTGTTGAGGATTTTTGCGTCTATGTTTATCAAGGATATTGGCTTGTATTTTTTTTTTTTTTTGTAGTGTTTTTGTCTGGTTTTGTTATCGGGGTAATTCTGGCCTTGTAGAATGAGTTTAGAAGCACTCCTTCCTCTTCAGTTTTTTGAATAGTTTGATAAGAATTGGTATTAACTCTTCTTTAAACATGTGGTAGAATTGACCTGTGAAGCAATCTAGTCCTGAACTTCTGCTTGTTAGGAGTTTGTTGATTACTGATTCAATTTCCTTACTAGTATCAGTCTGTTCATATTTTCTACTTCTTCCTGATTCGATCTTGGAAAATTGTATGTTTCTAGGAATTTATTCATTTCTTCTGGGTTATCAAATTGCTGTTGTATAATTGTTCATAGAAATCTCTTATAATCCTTTGTATGTCTGTGGTGTCCATTGTAATATCTTCTCTTTTATTTCTAATTTTATTTATTTGGGCCCTCTCTGTTTTTTTCTTTGTCTTATCTAATGCTTTTGGAATTGAATCCTACTTTATCTGATAGCATCACAATCCCTGTTTTATTATAGTTTCCATTTGCGTGGTATATCTCTATCCATCCTTTTATTTTTACCCCTGCTGTGTTTTAGGTGTGTCTCTTGTATGCCACTTATAGTTGGGTTTTCCTTTATGAGCCAATTTGAAACCTTGTAAAAGATTATTTAATCCCACTCACATTTATTGATATGACTGACATGTTTGGTCACAATTATGTCATATTATCATATGTTGAAAATTCATGTACAATAAGTACTACTTACTGTATTTCTTTCCCTATTTGGTACATCCTTTTCATTTTGTTTTGCTTTGTTTAGGAAATGTTTTATTTTTTTTCCTAGTGGTTGGTTGCCTGTGTATTTTTACTGTCTATAAGGACTTAATCCTCTTTTCTTTTACTTAACCTGTCTGATCTGCCAGTTTCAAAAGAATCCTTTAACTCCATCTATTACTTATACAACTGGCAATGATCTTATTCTAAATTTCAAGTTGCATTCTTTCTATTTCATCAGAACCTGTAAGGTTTACACATTATTCTTCTATCCATCACCTCACTCTTTTTAATTTTAGTTCTAGTGTTAAATAACATGAAATGCTCACCATCAGTCCTTTTGGTAATGTTTTCCCGGTCGTCTCCTGGTTGCATCAAAC